TTAGATATATTTGTTATAATATTTATTTTATCAAATATATTTGACAACTTGCCGTTTCACTGTTAATGTAGAAGGAATTATACTTTATAATAAAAGTGCTAAAAGCAAGTGCGGTAGAAAGAACTTTGATGATGACTTCTGTAGAACATGTTGAAGTCAAAATTGTTGTAAGCTGTAAACAATAACTTTTTTAGGAAGAAATGAAAAACGTTATTTATATTTTAACCTATTTCAACGTAACTGTAAGCCATTTTTATTACTTTATACAATAATTTTTATCAAGTTGTATAATTGGATTTCGCGAATTAATTCGTATTCGAATTGGTTATTAAAATGCCAATGTTTCGTAAACATTGCAATTTATTTCGTCATGACAAGAGGTAGCCTGATACTGTATCAAGTAGATACTGATGAAGTAAACAGCAATGTTCACGAAAAATTAGCATTCTATTAATGGATTTGGAGATAACCCGCGAAACGTATAGGTAACTTCTGTATTAAAAATTTTCGTGAAAATCTCAAAATTATTAAGTTGTATAATCGTAATTTTTTAATTTTTTATTAATGTAACTATGTGCAACAGAAATCAACACATAATATAATAACATTTTGTTACTCTCATGCGTAACTATTGTGTATTTACATAAACTTTTTTTTATAACCTTTCTTATAACTTTTTTTATATACATATAAAGTATAAGATCTTACTAATATTTGCACTAATTTTTTATATTTAATTATTACTAAATTAATCAACAAATTGGCAATTATAAGTCAATTCTATATTTAAGAAAGTACTATTAAAATTAAAATTTTTATACCTGAAATATAATGCAAGTTATAAAAATGCTAAGTATACATATTATTTGCAATCCAACAAATTTTGATTTTTCATAAGGCCACAAACCAACTATCAACAAGAGAGTTCGATTAAGACTGAAATATCTATCCACGACACTGATCATGTCTCAGCTAGCTCTAAAATGCTTTTATGGAAATAAACGAAATTGGACGAAACAATGTTACATTTATCCCCACCATTCAGTTGATACATTAAACGTTTTTTTTTTCTAATTCAACAAATGTTTTTTTCTTCTAATTCAACAAATGTTCTACAATTTAAGTCAATTTCCATAATTCAGCCAATTACGCTGAATTGTTGAAATTTACTTAAATGTCAGAAAATTTTATGAATTTTCAATGATAAAAGTACCGTGAAATGTGCATAATATACTGTTGCAATATTAAATCCTCGCAATTTAATACCGTTTTCTTAAAATATGTTGCGTTTAAGCGATCGATTCAACTACGAAGAAATTCAACAGATGTTCTTTTCTCGTAGAATAACATCTACAAGAAAAACTATAGCTGTAAAATTAGCGCAAGCGATGTAGCTACTTTTTCAACCATACGTATCTTCGTGTTCCATTCCAAAATAAGCTCTTGTAAGTTATACTTGATTTTTCAGGACCACTACAATCAATTACAAAATATAGTGAATAAAATTATAAAATTATTAGTCCGTATTTTTTACACTTCACTTTTAACAACGAATGCGCGTATATAGTTTACGATACATATTTTCAGCATATAGTTTACTGTGGAATTTCATAAATAAATTCGCGTATTTGTCGATATGTTTGAAGTATATATATACATATGTATAAATTTATATTGTTTTTTAATTATATCCACTTCCTTCTGTGTGGGAAAGAAGATATCTTCAAATATGAGAATATGTCTAATTGTAAGTAATGGAGAGTCCTTCCTAAATAGACGAAACAAAATTATACTTATCATTAAGCATGCGTTCCTCTTGACTTGATTTTATTTTATTTTTAAATTTAACATTTTTTCTTTTATTTTAAAAGATCAATTAAAATAAGCTATTTCGTCTAAGTTATTGTACATGTGAAAATTTTTGAAGTTTTCTTTATTAATTACATATGTGAGGTACAAAATATAGAATTTAACAGAAAAATCATCAATTTTCAACAAGAAAAATTCTGTTATAGATTAGGTGTTTATATATAATTAAGGTATAAATAAATAAAAGATAAATCTCTTTATTCCTTTGAATTAACCCTCGGACAGCGGACGTCGTGATACTCGCACGCACGGCGAACGCAGGGTCAAAAGTGACCCAGGAATGAAATTGTTTTGAAAAGCTTGAAAAGTAGTTTTTTTATTATAATATGTATAAAATATGTAGAAGGAGAAATAGAAACACATATTTATGATAGAAACAAATATCCATTTATTCATTTTCTTCATAGTTGAAAAGATTGAAAAGAGTAAACAATTTTAACTGGCGGGTTTTGCGAGATCCTGCGTCCGCTGGCGGAATGTTAAAATTGAAGGTATATTGAGGATAAAGATCAATATGGGATCATGATTTAATACGGCTTATTTTATCATTAGCTGCATTAATGTTACGATAAATGAACTTTAATTACATTCTGGACGAAAGTGTGAAGTGGAACATCAATTAAAAGAAATAAATCTAACACGTAAAATTAAGTCATTACTCGATAAAATAAAGTCACTGCAATTTATTTTACTCTATCCTATCATGTAAATTATTATTAAATATACTATTAAGTAACGTGCAATGCAAGTATGTATATTAGTTAACCTTTTTCTTACGTTGAGCATTATTGTATTTATTGTATTGTATTTTGCTCATGATATCTATTTAAGAAAGTTGAAAATGAAAAATGTTATAATAATAACTATAAATGAATGAATAGGACGAATATAAATATTAATTGTTATTATAACATTTAAATGATTGATTAAATATTCTATACATCTTATTGTTATAAATTTTAATGGTAATTTTATAATTAAATTAATTCGGTAATTTAATAAATATATTTTCCTCCGACCTTCATTTATACATAATTTACATCAGTGTTTTTGTTTTTTAGACATAAGATATATTGCAAACCATCTTTCATCTACACTTCATACTATTATAATATAAATTGTAACATATTACATTATTATGATTGCATTGAATACATAATAGTAAAGTAAGAAACGGATGCATTTATTAACTGTAAAAAAATTATATTTGCTTTAATTGTGTTGCATTAAGAAAAAAGTATATTTTCAATATTATAGTACAGTACATAAAATATATATTTTGTGTACCGTGGCAAAACATTCTAAGGACGCCACAAACAATCCACCGACTTTCAGGCCAAAACTTTTATTACCTCTTTGTAGCAGAATCAGTATTAGCCTTTGCATTGGTAAAGGAGTTACGTACCATTGAACTTTGTATCTAAAATTGATGACGATATAAGAAATTTGCAGAAAATGAGAACATTTACATGAAGTTTTTTCATCACGTATATCTACATTGTATATTTACATATATTGTAAATTTTCACTTTAGTTGAAACCTCCCCGATAACCTTGACCTTGACATATGTTGTCACAGTTCATGACCTTGAGTAACTTCCAACAAGTTTTAGCCGTCGCTCGTTAACCGTTAAAAAATTATTAGCAAAAAAAGTTTGAAAAAAATGATATCTCTTTTTACTATATAGAACAAAAATATTTTGCTTTAAATATAAATATATCAAAATATTTTACGACTGTCCATGCAAAACGAGTTTCACCCCATCTCCACCTATCAAGGGGCGCACCACTTTTCACGCGAAGCGACTTTCAGCCCACCTGCACCCCTGCTTCAGGGCGCACGACATCCACGATAAACGACTTTCACCCCACCTTCCCCCCTAGCAAGGGGCATGCGTCCCTGTAACAGGGGGAGCAGATGTACTGAAAGTCGCTTCGCGTGAAAAGTTGTGCGCTCCTTGGAGAGGGGAAAGTGGGATGGAGTTCCCTTCGCGTGAGAAACTATTATGTAAGGAGAGGTATAGAATAGTTTTTAATATTATATATAGTAGAAATAAGACGTTATTTTTTCAAACTTTTTGTTAATAACTTTTTAAGGAATGACGAGCGTCAGCTAAAACTTGTTGGAGATTACTCAGGGTCATGACCTTGATAACATATCAAGGGCAAGATCATCGGAGAGGTCTCCTCTAAAGTGAACGTTTATCTATATATTTGTTGTATGCTACATTAATACTTCAAAATTTAATTACTAATATTTTTTATTTTTTATTAGTAATTGAGGGGCCTATTTTTATGTAACTATTAACGACTGTAACTGTAGCGTTAAGAGTTACAGAATGAGCCTCGTTAAGAGTTACAGAATAGTCCTCTAAATTTCTTATATGAAATATAACTATAATATGAAACAATTATAGTACTTACGCAGTGACAAATATATAATTATTATGATCTATAATTTGCTGTCCGACCAAATTGGATGAAAACATGTATAGAAGACAGAAAGATGTAGTTCCAAAACATAGTATAAATTCTTCTGTATTATATTCGAATAATACAATCTGAAAGATCTAGTAGACGAAGGTATTATTGAGATTTATTCCTGTGAGAATATAGTGTAAACGTAATTTATTAATTTGCGATAGAATTTAGCACAACATTTATCTACTTTAAAGTAATGCATTAAGCTACATATACTTTTATAAATAAAAAATTACAAATTTTAATTATAATCACTACATATATGAAATGTCTGTTGTTATTATTTTATATGTATTTAATATTTAAAATAAATATTGCTACAATTTATAAATTAATTTGAAGATATCAAAAACTAGATGTTATATTATTAAAAATTAGAGATTATACACATATACACATATTCACAAAGTGAATTTCTAGCATTAAAATTAATAGTTATGTCTTATTTTCCACATAATTATTTTTATTATAAGCTGGAATTCTAATAATTTAAAAATCCGGATACGTATTTGAATATTAAAACATTGTGTCAATAAATATATGCCGATAATATCTAAAAATCTAAATTTAAATAATTTTATCTATACATAAATTGTTAAAATATTAATCTAATCTTTATCAATATTGTTTGTTAAAAGATGTTAAGATTATTAATCTAAAGCAACGTAATGAAATAATATGCAAATCATTAACACGGATTTGCAAAAGACGAGACATACTCGATAAATATTTAGACTCGTAGTAAGAACTCCGAATGGTACTAATGTCAAGAACGTGATTTGAAATCTGGACATAAAATAGTTGGAGAATCTAGAAACAAATGTATGTTATTACGAATGTTACATATTTATTACAGAATATGTAGATACCTACGTCATAGATTTCCGATGAATATCTACAGCATGAATTAGACCCTTATAAACCAAAATCTCTTTCTGCGAATTAACATTCTTTGATGTATAAATACGTATAGCTTTCTTGATGCGGTAACTGCAAAAATAATTTAATAACTGATAACTATAGCAAGAAGTAAAATTGCACAATAATTTTAAAGAAATAAGAGAAAAAGTTAGATTATCTTAATAATATAATTTAATAAAATAATTTTTATGTTCGCGTTGCGCATTTATTATTCATCTGGTTCTATAGCGTAATATATATCCGTGAACACTTTTTGTTATGATAAGCTTATTTGTAATATCACATAAACCTGGACGGCTGAGAATTTTCAATAACATTAAAATATAAATGAAAATATTAATTGATTTTATATCATTTAAAATTTCACTTTCAAAGTAAAGCTAAAAAGTAACTTTAGATATACTATATTGCACATTATTATAAGGAATAATGCATATTATGATTTCGTTATTTTAATAAACTGACCATTAAAACTTTCAATTCTAAGCATATTAATAGTTTATATTTTATAAAGTAAACCTTTCATATTAAAACAAATGCTTTTTGAAAATGAGTGAACCAAGAGCCCGTTCCTAATTTAAATTTTGTAACAATTTTTAAGATGCTTATTAACATCAAATTATTAATATTCGAGATATTGATTAGCATAATATTTTTATTATAGCAGTTGCTTTTCAATTTAATGTATATTTTTACTCTAGTTTTATATATGACTGCGTTTCATAACTGAAAATGATATCGGCGTGTAGTTTGCAGAATTGAGTATATACTTACTCTTAGATAACACTCCGAAGTATTTAAGCACATATGGTACAACTCATACCATGTACGCTTTTGTTACTTATTGTTAGATGTGTATTCACGCACTATGGTCTTATGACACTATGTTAAATTTTTTAATTATTATGTATGTTTATCATGTTACCTAGCAATTTTAAACATTCCGCAGGCATGCTGAAGATATGCAATGAGCAATGACCCTGTTCCGCATAATACTGTACACCCTATAGTAATAGTTGCATTTACATGGAAAAACATTAAATAGAAATATCTTTGTTGATAGATAAAATATTCGGTTGAGACCTGCAGGTGATGTGATCGAGATTCGTTTGCAGATAACACGATACCAATAAAATCCGAACATAGAGAGACGACCATAATTACAAAAAAGCTACAAATAGCAATCACTACACAATATTATGAAGTAATAAGTATAAAATATTTTTGAATATACTCTTTGAAATTTTATATTACTATAAATATATCATATTTTAAAATATTTTATATGTGAATCTTTTTCATGTTAAGTCAATGTATATAATGAATTTTATTAAAACTACTTTTATCTAAAACATTTTTTTTTGGAATGAGAAATAAAAAAGTTTTTGGAAATGGTGCAAAATGAAACATTCTATATATTTATGATATTTCTTTTGTTATATATGAAAAATTCTAAGGTATATTTGGTACTATTATTTCATATTTCAATGCAACGCTTGTATCATTACAATCTCAATCTTATATCTCAAAACTAAAACATTATATTTAGGATTACGAAAAGTTAAATTATTTTAATTACGCAGCATTTTGACGTGCATTTATTCTTTGGTACCATTACAAATGTTAACATACATTTCAAATGCTTGCTTGATGCATTATATAACTTAAAATACATATTTTTAGTTGTAAAATTTTTAATAAAAGTTTCATTAAGTAATTTCCTACATAAAAAAAATGAAACATATCTTACGTGTAAGCACAGCCGTATACCGTTTCGCATTATTTCCATATTTTTCTACGATGGCAACTTCGTTATTATCTCTTAAATCGTCATATATATACTGAATTTGTTCCATTAAATTTTTTATCTATATTATCAGTGAGTTTTTATATTACGTCTTGTTAGTAAAATTAAAAAAAGTTAATAAATAATATTAGATATATTTGTTAAAATATTAATTTTATCAAATATATTTGACAACTTGCCGTTTCAGTGTTAATGCAGAAGGAATTATACTTTATAATAAAAATGCTACAAGTAAGTGCGGTAGAAAGAACTTTAATGATGACTTCTGTAGAACATGTTGAAGTCAAAATTGTTGTAAGCTGTAAACAATAACTTTTTTAGGAAGAAATGAAAAACGTTATTTATATTTTAACCTATTTCAACGTAACTGTAAGCCATTTTTATTACTTTATATAATAATTTTTATCAAGTTGTATAATTGGATTTTGCGAATTAATTCGTATTCGTATTGGTTACAATGCCAACGTTTCGTAAACATTGCAATTTATTTCGTCAGGGCAAGGGACAGCCTGTATCAAGTCGATACTGATGAAGTAAACAGCAATGCTCACGAAAAATTAACATTTTAATAATGGATTTGGAGATAACCTGCGAAACGTATAGGTAACTTCTGTATGGAAAGTTTTCGTGAAAATCTCAAAAGTATTAAGTTGTATAATCATAATTTTTTAATTTCATATTAATGTAATTATGTAACTATGTGCAACAGAAATCAACACATAATAACATTTTCTTACTCTCATGCACAACTATTGTATATGTATTTACATAAACTTTTCTTTATAACCTTTCTTATAACTTTTTTGTATACATATAAAGTATAAGATCTTGCTAATATTTGCACTAATTTTTTATATTTAATTACTATTAAATTAATCAACAAATTGGCAATTATAAGTCAATTCTATATTTAAGATAATACTATTAAAATTAAAATTTTTATACCTGAAATATAATGCAAGTTATAAAAATGCTAAGTATACATATTATTTGCAATCCAACAAATTTTGATTTTTCATAAGGCCACAAACCAACTATCAACAAGAGAGTTCGATTAAGACTGAAATATCTATCCACGACACTGATCATGTCTCAGCTAGCTCTAAAATGCTTTTATGGAAATAAACGAAATTGGACAGAACGAAGTTGCATTTATCCCCACCATTCAGTTGATCTATTAAATGTTTTTTTCTTCTAATTCAACAAATGTTCTACAATTTAAGTCAATTTCCATAATTCAGCCAATTACGCTGAATTGTTGAAATTTACTTAAATGTCAGAAAATTTTATGAATTTTCAATGATAAAAGTACCGTGAAATGTGCATAATATACTGTCGTAATATTAAAACCCTCGCAATAATACCGCTTACTTAAAATATGTCGTGTTTAAGCGATCGATTCAACTACGGCTGTAAAACTGGCGCAAGCGCTGTAGCTACATTTTCAACCATATGTATTTTCGTGTTCCATTCTAAAATAAGCTCTTGTAAGTTATATTTGATTTTTGAGGATCATTACAATCAATTACAAAATATAGTGAATTAATTATAAAATTATTAGTCCGTATTTTTTACACTTCACTTTTAACAACGAATGCGCGTATATGGATTACGATACATATTTTCAGCATATAGTTTACTGTGGAATTTCATAAATAAATTCGCGTATTTGTCGATATGTTTGAAGTATATATATGCATATGTATAAATTTATATTCTTTTTTAATTATATCCACTTTATTCTGTGTGGGAAAGAAGATATCTTCAAATATGAGAATATGTCTCATTGTAAGTAATGGAGAATCGTTCCTAAACGGACAAAACAAAATTATACTTATTATTAAGCACGCGTTTCTCTTGATTTTATTTTATTTTATTTTTTAAATTTAACATCTTTCTTTTTATTTTAAAAGATCAATTAAAATAAGTTAGTTCGTCTAAATTTTTGTTTTATGTGTTTATATGTTATATAGGAATATATTTTTGGAGTTCTCTTTATTAATTATATAGGCGAGGTACAAAATATAGAATCTAACAGAGAAATCACATCAATTTTCATTCAACAAGGAAAAATCTATTTTATGGTATTTATATATGATATAAAATTAAAGTATAAATAAATAAAAAAAAATCTCTTTATTTCTTTAAATTGAAATTGAAGGCATATTGAGAATAAGGATCAATATGGGATCACGATTTAATACAGCTTATTTTATTATTAGCTGCATTAATATTACTATAAATGGACTTTAATTACATTCGGGACACATCACGATATAAAATACATTGTTTTGCGGTGCACTTTTGTATATAGAGAAGGGGTTGCAGTTTTGTTTGCTCGAAAACAAATTATATTAACTAATTTTTTTCTGCAAGTAAAAAATTACATTTTATGGCACATTTTCACTTATCGCTGATGCATCATTTTTCACCGTGTTTGAATTTTCACCTTCGATATTCTTGATATTGCTAGCAGCGGATAACGATCCAGATATCTATGAAAAAAAATTAAAGTATTATATAAAATGAAATCGAGGATAATTCATCTACAAAATTATCACATACTTTTACCTGACGAGGTAGATTGGGCAGAGTGCATGGTAACCTATAGCTAGGTAAAACATCTGGCATAGGTGGAGGAACCGGTGGTTCACTATAAGTATTATGAAGCTCCTCCAATCTTGTGCAGAGAGCAGTACCACGTTTACTTGTAGCGTTCATTTTTTTCATAAGCCAATCAGCCTGTTCCTCCAAACGTTTCAATCGATCGGCTCGTGTCGCCAAAACTTCTTCTGGAGTTCGAGATTTAATCAAAGTAATTTCTTTTTGCGCACTTATCCCGCTTTCCTGCAGCTCGTCTTTAGACTCTGATGTAGACGAAGGCATAGAACTAACGTTGGCCATAGGAAATTCTCGGACCGTATCCAAACTCGAAGAAGAATCCACGGAGACACTGTCAGAATCTACAATGTTGTCTATTATTTTGGAAGATCGTTGATCCGTACCTTCTATCGACTCCTCTTCTTGACTTGATACAGCTGACAAGGAAGACCAAACGTTTGACGAGGAGATGATACAATTATCCGTAAAACTTTCCATTTCTGTCGCTGCCGTACCAAAAACTGGAGCGAGAAAACGATTAGACGGACCCATGATTAAGGGATTGCTGAACTGCACGCTTTTTATTGACGAGGATGATGCGTTAGATACAGGAAGAGGTCCAATGGAAAAGACGGACATCGTGTTGGTTGTATTCGTAACAGTAGCGCTGGGTGTCTGAGAAACGGACGATGACGGAGTACTTTCGGATTTTATTGTCTCACCGTTATCGTCTTTATCAAGCTGCCTTGATGAATTTCTGGATGACAATTCAAATAATTCACCATTAGGCACTGTTGAAGGCAAGTCGATAATCGTAGTTTGTTTTAATATCTTCACATCGGATGACGAATATCGAGATTCGATGGTCAGTGTTGAAGATTGCGAATTTCCGTCGCATAAATCTGTCCTAGAAGCTGTCGTTTGATCAGTTTTTGTGTCGTCGCTGGTTTCAAGGATTGGATTGTCGCATGGATCTTCGAAAGATGTCATATTCTCCCGCGAAGCTGAAACATTCTCGCCTTCTTCGTGGTCAATTTTTATAAGATTTTGTATAACGTTGGTAAGAGCTTGATCTAAAGGATCCAGAATCTCTTGCGTTCCTTCCATAACACTCTGTTTAAAATTATATTAATTAAATCATCAATAAAATAAATATTTAAATATGATTTGTTATAGTTTTGCTTACATCAGCTTCCGTCATGTTAATAAGTTCTGGATTAATATGCACGATTTCTGCCTCGTCCAATTCCGCTTCGGTCTCTGGAGTCGGCGTGCGTTGTTCCAAAGTCACCGAAGAACTAGTCTTTGATTCTGACAGTTCTGTATCTGTCGGTTGTTCGGATTCTGTGTCTGGCGTCGGCGCTCTAGGACTCTCCTGCATTAATTCGAGCATTATTTTATCTTAAAATAATGAACAATTATAAAAATTTGTAAAAATAATTAATAAAAACCTTTCGTGTTCGTCTACGCGGGCCGTGTCTGATTCGTCCCTCAATTGCTTCTTCTTCTTCATCAGTATCATCACCTCTCTCATCACTGAAACCGCTTTCAGCGCTATATAGAATAATTGAAATATGAGTTAAGAATTGCAGGACAATTTTCGTATTAAATAATAAAACGTAGTGGTTCTACAATTCTCTTTAGTTTCTCTATTATTTCTATTATTTCAATGGAACACTAAAATATCTTACATATGTTTTGAGACAATATGTTAAAAGAAGATATCTGGTACTATTTAGTTTCTAATAACTAATGATAAAATTCATAAATATTAATATTAATTAAAATAAAAAAATATTTTTAAAGCGTATTTGAAAAAAATAAAATGAATTTCTAATATTTCTAATTCTTGTTATTTAAAGTCATCTCATTTATATTAGTATTGAGTTAAAACAGTATACAATAAAATATACAATAAAATTTTAAATAAATGACCTATTGAAAGAGTCATGGACAGCTAAAGCTTTTCGTGCAGCGAACTCGCGACGTAAGTTTCTCCATTCCCGTTCAGTATTTGTGTTTTTTTGTCTAGCCGATTCCCATTTCTCTCTGCAGTATTCTAACTCCTGTTTCAATTCCTGCAACATTTTTCTCTTCTCCTGCAACTCGTATCTTAATATTTCCTCGTGCGTGTGCAACTGCTGATGCTGCGCTTGCATCCGGCCGACGATATTCCATGTTTTGGCCAATTCGACCGACACCATAGAAAGTCTCTTTTCCTAGATATTGTAAAAAAAATAAAAAAAAAACAAAAAATAAGTTTTGTATCATATCATATCGCACATAAAAGATATCAGAACATCATTTACCTGTTCGCCCAGTTTACTTTCCAAATGAACGTTCAGCTGCTTCATGCGATTCATCTCCTTCTCCAAATGCTTCTTCTCCAGAATTAACTCCTTCAAACGAATGTACGTTTTGCTCACGGATATTACCAATCTTGGACCGGCCGGAGTGTCCACAGACTTGTAGCAGCTGTTCGGATCCGAACAGGACGCAACGGAAACGCTCGGAGAGGTCACCGCGTGGCAACTAAGTAGTTCCAATAAAACGCGCCACACCTACAACGTAATTTCACAATTATTTTAACAAAGTCGATCTATATATTAAGCTCTTTAAACGAAAGCACGCAATCGTATAATTGTCAATATTACTGTAACACGGTATTTGAATTAGCATTTACAAATACATAGAAATTATATTAGGAATTAATTATTATTTTTAACCTTTGGTAAATTATGGGCGATATCTTCTTCTTGGAGGTCATCTTCCTTCCTATCAACTTCGCTAACATTTTCTACACTATTCTCTTCACTTGCGTGTTTCTGGGATGCTTTACCGCCTTCGACTTGCTCAATTAAATCTAAAAGAAGTTTAGGAAGAGCAGCTGCTTCGGTACTTTCTTCCCTGGCTATGTTACTTATAAGATCGTGATTTTCCTACAGCGTTAAAATTAAATTAATTATTATCATTATTTTTATCATTTACATTCTCTTTCACGAAATTTATTATAAATCTTTAAAATACATATTAATCATTTCTTAGTTATAAATTATAAATAATGAATCAACATTGCATTACCTGTAGCAACTGAGTTAACCGATCAAGATCCATGTCTGCAGAGGAAGCTCCGAGCAACATCTGCGTGAATAATCCATTAATGAGAGACATCTGATTCTGAAGATCTCTGCAATCTGCCTTGGTTAATCCCAATTGCGATTCCAAGTTTGTGATTTCCGAGTCTTGAGCGTCGACCTGGCGCATGTAACATAATATAAGAATCTCAAACAATTAAAATGAAATCGAACGGTAACAATTTAATACCTTGTCTTCGGCTCTCTTAAGCTCCTCTTCTAAATTCTCCGATTTCTTTAGAGCGTATTCCATTTTCTGTTTCACATCCGTCAGCTCCCTAGTCGCGGAATCTTTCAACTCGGTCAAGACCCTCAATCTTTCATTGTAAAGACTTTTCAACGCGTTTATATTCTCCAACTGTCGATCGCATTCGATTCCCGCGTCATCTTGAATTTCCAGGAAACTCCTATCACCCAATCTAACCAGCAGTTGAGCTAGATAGTTCTTCAACTCATTGGTCTGATGTTCTCGCGTAATGAGAGACGTGCGTGCCTTGTTGGCCACTTCCGTCAAACAACGAATACGTTGTCGGTGACGCTCTGAATCGGTCTCCAGATGGTAACGAAGGTCATCCACTTTCTCAATTTGATATCGCACGTCATTTCTTAACTCATCAGATACCTGAAACAAACCTATGTTTGTGTACTTATTTACGGATTTTAAGCAAGTAAAATGTATGGCGAACACAAACTTTTAGGACACGCGTCAATCGTTGCGCTTCCGCGCGTTTTAACGCTTTCTCGCTTTCATCCGTGTGGTTGCGTTCTTGTTCTTTCATCGTAGTTTTCACAAAACTGTCATTCGCGAGATCAAGATCTTGTGGATCTCGATTGCTATAGACGGAACGTAATTGAGCTAACATGCTCGACGTTTCGGAATGAGCTTTCTTCTCAACATCCAATTCTCTTCTAAGTCTTTCCATCTCAGATGAGACCGCCGCGATAGCCCTATGTCTAGCTTCCCTTTTCAGGGTTAATTCCTTTCTAAACTCGTCCATACTGGAATCGGCACGATTTGGATTCGATGTATTTTCCGATATATCGTCTATTGAGTCGACAATATCTACAGCATATAAACATCTAATTATATTTCACGAGTTAATAGAATACAATAGAAATTGAGAGATAATATAAAATATACCAATATCTCCTGTTGAAACAACATCGTCTTCGTTTCTTCTTTCAGTCTTCATAGTCTCTTTCAGTCTTTGAATCTCTTGCAAAGCGTCTTCAAGAGCCTTAATCTGCTTCTTTTTACCCAAAAGTTCATCGGACAATTGTGTTCGCAATTCTGATATCTTTTGGCTTTCTACATTCTTAATCCGTTCAGTATCGAGCAGTGATTTTTGTAGATTCTCTTCCAAAATTGAAATTCTCGCATCGGCAGTGTCTTTTTCTGATTGAAATATATCGATTTCTTTTAGCAATCTCTCGATTTCTTTCTTAGCGCAGTCTAAGTGTTTTGTCAGTTCGTCGTATTGTTGCCTGCTTTCGTGCAAATTAGCTTCTACAGTTACATGTTGCGTTTTCAGTTCCTAAAAGAAAGATAATTTTTGTTATATAATTTAAATATTTATTGTTTTATATATTTTAATGTAACCTCTTACATCATGTTAATATTTTAATGTAATTCCTTACAGAAATCTAATATTGACCGATTCAAAACTGAAAGACAGTAATTAATTACTTATTTTAAGTATTAAAAACACTATTCAGTGTTTTTAATACTTCAAATAAGTAATTAATTACAGCCTTTTAGTAATAAATGAGACAGTATTAGATTTTCTGTAAGGGATGTCTTTGCACTAAACTAAGCGTAGCAAAAGAGTATGCAAATGATCAACACCTCCTTTTTGCAAATTATAAAAAATCTTAGAACATCGTACCTCGTAATCTACGCCTAATTTTTCAACTAAATTTTTTTGATCCGTCAAGTTGTACAGCAGTCTTTCGTTTGCACTCTGAAATTTCAGTCGATCCGCTTTTAATTTCTCAACTTCTTCGGACAACTTAAATATTTCTTTATCTTTAATAAATATTTCTTCACTCGCTGAATTTCTTATCGGATCTTGTTCGTCATTTCTCAACCTTGCGCGTCTTCTGCGCACTTTATCTAAATCTACGTTCAGAGAACATGAGTTTTCGTCTAACGTAGGAATATTCGTCACGGAATCATCGAAATGAGCACTATAGTGTATATGAAAGTCCGTTTCCTTGCTGACAGTGCCTCGATAATCGCCAAAATCGCCAGGTACTTCACCAATGGCATCTGTCACAATATGATTCGATCGTTGCTCTGACGATTCACAACGCGATTCCGCGGAGTTCGAATAAGAATTCTCGTTCTTTGTATTTTGTGTTTTCGACGAATCCTCCGATTTTTCCTTTCTGGAACGCAGTTTATTATCCTCTTGCAAGCATCGCTGTTTGTACTGTTCAAAAGAACTTGTCTCCAGCAATTCTTCTAGTCTAAGAACACGTTGCTCCAATCTTTGTATTTCTTCATTTCCAACGTTTTCATCGTACAGTCTTTTCTGGGGGATGTTCCCGCATATTTCCAGATTTTCTGTTGAAATCTTTTGCTTCCGGTTCTCTCTATCCTTCGACAATTCTAAATATAACGTTTCCATGCGCGCTAACGTTGCACTATGCGTACTGGCTAATTGATGATTGGCTATGGCCAGCTGCGAGATAATTCGCGAAAGCTCGACGATTTCATTATTCTGTTGACACATTGGATGATCGTGACCATCGGCGGACTGCCAACCTGTCATTTGCGTAGCACACGTTAACTGCAATATAAATAAGCAGTTTGTAATTTTGGATTGTAATTCGTTAAAAACTTGAGAATATGTCAAATCATTAATTGTTCCAAAAGATTGTTTCTTTGCAAAACTCGATCAATATCGATCAAGGTATGTTTCGAAAATTTAACTGCACGAAGTGTAGTTAACACACAACACATGCATCACAAATGATGAGTCACGCGATTTCAAACAAAGAAGATAAAGGAAACAAAGAAATTTTTTCTTCTTTTTTTCTTATTATAAAGATTTATTTTATCAAATATTAATATGTGTGATTAAAAAGCATTTCACTTAGGCTTACGTTTTCGGAAGAAAAGGATTTCACCGGCGCTTTTAAAAGATAATGGTCCGTTCTCGACGATTCGCAATGGTATACTGGCATAAAACACAATGTTCTCGCGAATCGACTGAGAATAAGCACGTGATCACGACTGATGACTGTGGAGACGGCTTTTCGTGACTGTGAGTCAGCGTGTTCTCCCGAAAACACGGATTGGAGAAGAGCCAGTTTGTAACGACTAACAGAGGAGCCGACTTTCGCGAGACAAAACGCGCGATTTTTTTCCGTTAAAACGCAGGTGCAACTTGACGATGGCAATGCCCGAGTTTAATTTAGCTGCCATCACATACAAGCAAACTGTTCACATGACGACAGTCGAGACATATAGCAGTTGGTAGCATTCGAGGTAGTATTATATATCTGTCAATCGCTAAAAAGTATACTTTCCAGGTCCGTCGTTTCTTATTAATTAGTGGAAATATAGAATTAAAAATTTAATATAACAAAGGAAAAAGAAAGATAAGCGATGGTTTACCAGAGTTTCGCGTTTAGGAGGCAGCATATTTGATAGGCTGGGTGCCGTTGGCCTCTGATCCCAGAATTCGTTAGTACTCATGGTTGTGTAGGGGTTTGGATCCTGTGCCAAAGTATCAAATAAATTCATAAAATTTTTTTCTCTTTCTCTCTCTTTATCTCTTCAAATATGCACACTCTAAATTTTTTGCAGTGAAATTTCACTCCAAGAGAGTCAAAATACAACCACCCTTGAAAAAAAGTGAAAATATTTCACTTCTTGGGAAAAAAAAGATCTTCACTCTTTTTAGAGTGAAATTTTACTTTTTTGGAGTGAGATTTTACTCCTTTGAAGTGAAAATTCACTCCAAAAAGAGTGAAAATTATTACTCTTTTTGAAGAAATGAAATATTTTCACTTTTTTTTCAAGGGTGGTTGTATATTCACTTTCTTGGAATGAGATTTTACTGTAAGAAAGGAGAGTAGAAATAAAACGATCTCCGATGATCGCGAAACCCTCGAAAATTGGTACTCTCCTTTAGAGTACATACTTTTGGTTTACAACGTACTTGTGATCGTGGCTGATCCTCGTCCTTGTAGATGCTTGTTCCGACGTACGTTCTTTGTCTTCCATTGTTCGTGGGACAAGCATCTTCCGGATACAAAGTTTCTACCTCATGTTTGTTCATAGAGATTAAAGCTGGCGGACCACTACTGCTACTTGATGCTCCCATTATTTGAACCTTTCACTTACTACGCATGAAAAATATATGGAGAGTTTTTGATTGCTTTTTTTCTATAAATTTTACATGTTAGCAGGATGTTATTCGTTTTCCCAGTAATGAAATGAATGATTACTTCTTCAGGTAGCAAGCTAACTATTATTTGTCATTTTTTTTGCTCCAAAAAAGTGAGATTTCACTCCTTTGAAGTGAAAATTCACTCAAAAAAGAGTGAAAATTGTCACTCTTCTTCAAGAAGTGAAGGGTGGTTGTATTTTCACTTTCTTGGAGTGAGATTTCACTGCAAGAAATTTAGAGTGTAACGATGCATAGATACATATATAGTTGCAAGAATAAAAAGTTTGGATTGTGTCAGCTATTATTTTTAGAAACTAGTTCGATCTAATTGTACCTCGACTCTCTGAAGACTAAGTAGGGTAAAAAGAACTAGATTAGTAGGGTAAAAATAGAAACACAGTCGATTTAACGCTTTTAATTACGATGCGAGGATAATAAATAATCATTTGACAAAGATAAATATAATGCTGCAATAGTATGCAATACGTTTACACATATCGTAGAAAGATTTGCGTAAATAAGGTTTGATATATTAAATAGATCAAACTAGGTAACAACGTTCAACAACGAAGATGTGTTTTCACGAAGGTGACTGCCGCACAGGTAAGTGTTTTCGAATACAGTGAGTCAGAATCCAAGTAAAAGTCGCTCACCAATGATCAATTGAAAAATCGTGAAATTCGTGGTTTCAGCTTCTCCGAGGGTCTGTCGACGATTCTGTCTGACTGCTGTCGTCGTTGCTAGCGGGCACCGACTCGCATCTCTAAAAATACCATTTTGAAAGACCGCTTGCGCAAAGCCGACGATACATCTTCGCATCGAATTCATGCGCAGAAGAATTGCTTCAGACTTCCGCGCGTATTTCTCATCCTAGGAAGTCATCCATCGAGCTCTCTTCCTTTTTTTTCTTCCGATCGCAAGAAAACAAATTCATGTCAAGAAAGATTTTCCGACGAATATCGAACGGATATTGCGTAGTTTCAATTTCGTATTGTTATAAAGGGTGATGTTTTATATAGCACCACAATTGATTCTTCAAACGTTTATTTTAACGTAAAATATACAAAATTTAAAAAAATTATCTAAAAGTATTCTACAAACTGAATAAAAATATTTAATTAATACAGATTCGATTAAAAAAGCAATCTTGTTATTTGTTTTCGATAGGTAATAAAGTGATGCAAAAACGGTGATCGCAACGTGAATTATTGTCGTCACAAGCTCTATCTTGAGATGCAGCTCTCACAGTTAACAGAATAAACAACTATTTTAAGGTGCTTTCAAGCCTTCAGATAGTAATTGCTCTCGGGAAAATGTAAACGTCCTAACAATAGCCCCGCATGTATTCTATGTTTAGATAGATTTTTGAACTATTTGTCACTACTATCTCGCTGCGTTTAACATTATATATCTAACACAACAATTAAAAGCACTTATTTAGTCAAATACATTTTTGTTTTTATTTTCTTTCTATCGTATTTCGTCTTGAAAAAGAATCGGAATGCAATTTAAGTTAAAGCTCGTTCCAAAAATTTTTATTTTTAGTGACACAACTTCCAAAATTTTTCTTAGCAACTCTACATCTGTACATTAATATTCAATTTTAATAATCTAAAATATACGAAATTCTATTTAATATTAACATATTAAGAAAATAAAGCATTTTAATTCAAAATTAATATATTGAGAAAATAATATTTAATTAGAAATTTTTATAATAAATCAACATAATAAACATTAATCTTTTCTCTTTTAGCTTTGATTTTCTAAATAGAAGAAATTTCTTTAAACAATAGAAATAAAATCTGAAATAAATAAAATAGTGATAATAAATGGCCCCGCTAGCAAATTGACCAACTGCAGATAAAGTAATACTCTATAATGTCTATCGAATTTAACTGGTACATCGTTTCTGTAGATAAAAGATGTTTTCCACTTTCTTAAATTTTATCCAGGGGACATTCGCTAAAACGTTGATACATTATCGGTAAAATATAGCGGTAAAAAATTTCATTGTAAAGTTACCGAAAAGCGGAAGTGTATCTAGATAACGCGTCGTGCAAGAATCGTTATAAAAATATTGTCCTGACATCTCCTTTTGTTCTTCCTGTTGTGCATTTCGGGTCACGAATGGAAAACAAATTAAATGAAAATTCATTATAAAATGCATAGCTTCTCATACTCTCTGAAGCTTTTAGAGTGAATCTCACTTTGAAGAGATAAAGTCTCACTTTTAAAGATTGAAAATTGAGCCACTCCTTTTCAAGACTGGCTCAATTTTCACTCTTTAGAAACTCCAAAGAAATTAGAGTATATGTTTAATAATAAATTCCAATCTACACAGAAAACGTAGAGTTTTCGCGAATAGTTTCAGTCGTATGAATCATATATATACATAAGAACTCCGTATATCATTATCTCACACCCGAAGGCTGAACACCTCCCTGATTATAATATGGTGCTTATAATGTTGCGTTACAAGTGTAATCCAAGTGCTTTGTTGTGTTATACTTCTCATCCCCTGATATTCCTGAAACATTTATAATGTCTAGATACGCCGCGTTCGACCCGCCAGAATGACTTAACTCCAGGTGCAAATGCATATACACGACATCTGCTCCAATGTGGAGGAGCGCGGCCGCGCTCGCGCGTTCCGGTGCCGCACTGCCGCCAGCCGTGTACCGATCGGCTTGGTCCGACAAGGCCGACGCGCCGCGCGTCCGTCAGTCAGCGTTCGCGCACGAATGCGACGGTACGGTCGTCGGTCGTCGTGGCGAGTTTTTACTCGGCGCCGCGCTCACGGGTGCTCCAGCTCGAGAGAGCAGAGCTGACGTTTCTACGTGAAGCGGGAAGAGAAAGTGGTTCCGCTTCTCTATCTCTCTCCCTCTCTTCTCTTTCTCTTTCTCTCTCTTTCTCTCTCTCTTTCTTTTCTTTTTTTCGCACACTTTCTCTCCCTCGATCTTTTTACTTTCCTCTCGCATTCTCGCAAGTCCGTACCGAAGGCGTTTCATTGGGCATCCGTGCAACCGCTGGGGCTGTGACCTGCTTCCGCTCGATCCTCGCAGCGGTCCGACAGGCGGACGAGCACCCGCAGGTGAGAGATACGCGCGGACTCCGCATCGCCGAGACGGATGCGGAGGACCATCGTTGTGCGGACAGACATTTCCTCCGCCTCGATGCGACGCGACCGATTTTGGAGCGTGTACGACCGTCATCGCGGCGCATCAAGTCTCGGGAGAACGAATCGGATGCGTTTGACAGATCGAAGATCCCCTGAACGTCCTTCCGGCGTGTTTAAAGCATCCGGCGAGGATGGCCATTTCCAGTCGCACGGTACCGCGGAAAGCGCTACATGCTTGGGATAACACGCAATTAACATTCCATTGCTAGATCGCGCTATTGTGATACATGCGCGGTCCACGTCAAAGGGTTAAGCGATTACTGTGCGAGCCGCGATTACGCGATGTTGTTAAACAACAGGAAAGATTTACGGCCAAAACGATTATCACTCAATTACGTCGGAAATTTAACGAGCGTTATCTGATAAAGATGTAAGTGGGCTGATTGTGAGACCACGTTCACCAAATTTAATCATCTCGCGTAGCACGACGAGGGTTGCGCGCCTTTTAAGATACAAACACGTACAACCCCATACAACACGCTTTATCCGAAGGATATTCTGAGAACGTTCTCAGAACATCCTTTAGACATTTTTAGAACATTCCTTGAAGATCCGTGCCATTAGGAATGGTTACATCCGGTTACATCGTTTTGTCCTTTCATCTCGGGAAATCTCAGATATCGCAGAGGAACGTTCGAGGAACGTGGCCTCGAAGTTCAAAAGCGACCTAACAAGAAGCAGGAGAGGGACATCCGCAGGTGTATAATTCGCGAATGTTATCCCAGATATCCGACTTAAGAGAAATCTAATCGCGCAGGTGTCAAACGCGCATGGATCGTCTCCGCCAGCGGTGGAATTTCTCGCGAAAGCTCTCCTCTTCATCAGGGAAGGTCGAGAAGTCGATGCTCATCGACTACCCGTGTGGTAAGCGGCGCGGTGCGCCGCGACCTTGATCGCGCACATCGGCTGCTCGGTGCCAGTGTGCCACCGGTATAGAGGTACGCACGGCCTGCGCGTCGACGTCGATAATTCGCGCGCGGCATACATTCTCTCCGCGTGTCCTCGTACTCGACGTTCCCCTCGCCTCTCCGCCGCTGGAGCGTTCTTTCAGAAGCACGAGAATTATTTCGGAGAAACGGCTCTCTCGTCACGTTCGATAGGCCCCGCTGCGCTCCATTTCGCGTTTCGCGACGAAAATCGGCTCGATAAGACGCAATTGGTTTTTGAGAAGAAGAATTACTAACTGTGTGCGATCGTACAGTCTCTTTCTCTCTCTCTCAGTCTACTACGATGACCTTACGTTTGTATTTCCGTAGATATGTAATGCAATAACTCTTCCTTGAAATGTCAACCTGAACTTGATGTAATCCTCTACCTGCGCGTGGTTCTCCAAACATTTAAATCAATATATGATTTTAATTGGCTAACTATTTTTCGGAATCTTCATATATAAATTATTTTTAATAATAAGCATTTTGATTTATGTCAAAATTACCAATTAAAAATGAAGACAAAATATCCATCTTTGCTCATTTATTAGAAATTTATTTTAATATAAATATAAATATAATATTTCTAGGCCCCACAATGTTTTGTGGCATATTTCATATATCTAATCATGAAAAGTAAAAATAATAAATATACGACGCACTGAATAAAATCTCCATTTTAAAGAACTGATAATCTTGTCGAGAGCTTAACATTAACGTTTTAAATAGTGCACATGTCACTTTGCAATTCTAAATAATTATTTACATATTAAAGATAAATTCACGACGCAATAAAGTTTATTACGTCGAACATGTGAGTGTAACTCGTGTTATACATTTACTATTTAAATCTTGCTATATAATTCAATCCAAAGTAACTGCTCCCAAAAATTATTCTCAATGTGTATTTTAAGTAGCTCTAAATATCGTAATTACGATTAATCCTCGTTTTCGAGATACCGCGACTATCGGTGGGTCGTGCCCGTCGTATCTATCGTGATAGAGGTCGCATATCGATAATGTAGGTCATGCATTTTCGGCCTTGCACATTTGGCATCTATACGTCGATTGGTTCGCGCGTCCCTGTGGACCGATTCGGCTGCTGTTCCAGGAGATCTATTGTTCTATCTATATAGCTTGACGAACTCTAATACGAAATAACTGTCAACTTGCGGTTGACAGTTCAATTCACTTTGTAAAGAGCAATTGCCTTGAAATCACTGACCTGTGTCTTCGCTATTTTTCGTCAAATAGATAAAATTGTTATTTCATTCGTAGATAGAGTATGCATTTTTTTCTAAGTTAGACAATTAAAACGCAAAAATCTTAGCAAAAACGTTTAATACATCGATTAAAGATTGCATAATTATATTTAATTATATATCATTTCAGATATTGAAAAGTCATATTTTCCAAGCATTTTTTTTAGATTTTTTTTAGATAGACATTTATCTGATATAAAAGTATGAAACGGATAAACTTCTGCCAATATTTTTGACGAATTCATTACGTCAGCTGTAGATTACATTAGATTACGTACATTTTATTTAATATACGTTATTTAATATTCTCTACTAAAATTCGATATCCATTCGCTTCTAATAGGGATCCAATTCAGGTCATATGTTCGTTCATATAATTGCGTGTC